GATCCACTGAAAGGATTCGTCAATGTAAATATAAGGAATGATATTTATTTTTTCAACATTTATGAGGTCATAACAACAATGGGTTTTTGGACATATTTTACATGAATCGCTAACGCGATTCATTCAATATGTCCATAAACCCATTGTTGTTATGACCTCATAAATGTTGAAAAAATAAAAATCATTCCTTAAATAACATTTTAATAATATGAGGCAAGATTATCAGTATGTAGAAAAAGAAAATGAAATTCGATGGTTTTGTTGTCGTGTGTTGAGTAACATCAGAAGGCGGAAGTGTCTGTTCTCAGCTGACAGGAAAGTCATCTTTTGGCAAAAACAATGTGAAAAACTGTTTTTAATCGTGATGGCTTCTGCACCGGAACGTCTCCGGTTAAAGGACAGAATCGTAGCAAGTGTTGCCACGTCAGTCAAGTCGGTAAGCTTTCTTACAAAGTGATTGAACGAACTCGAACTGTATTCTGACAAACTCTGTATCAGACTGATAATCAGTCGTCAACCCTCATCACATGATACCAATTAGCCTTCTTCGATTGCTGTACCATTACAGTACAGGCGGATACAGAAATAATACTACGCGGTACAACTACTATCTCAGAAGTATATGTCTGTTTCTAAAACAATGTTGGGACACAATGGTCTTGATTAGAATAGATCTTTTATTCTCAAAACTATCATTAGATTTATAAAAAACATCTATATATTGGTAGAGTATATATATCAGCACTGACTTAGATCTCTTCCATGATCAAACCTTCAAACATACATTATTGTATCTACACAAAATTGAGCATTGTTCATGTGTTCAGTGTCTTCTGCTGTTTAAACAGGTACCAGAGAACTGGTAAATCTGGCTATACAGGCAGATTTAGCTATATATAGTCCATTCAATATATAGGATATTAGTGGACACAGACTGTGAGACATTGCTGCTCCAATATAATGCGGAGTTCATATGAATTCTGTCAAATGTCTAAGTTTGGTGTCAGGAATAGAGGAAACTTGGGCTTATGCATTCTGGTAAACGTCCAATTTATTGTATTAATATGAGCATTGTATTTTGCAGATCCAGGAATACCAGGTTGCATGTGGCTGTGGAGATGACCCAGTCACTCTCACCAATACTGACCGCCCCTGTCAGCGACTTACAGAGAATTTTGACCATGTCTTCCTTCATGGGTAAGTTGTCCAGGACAGGAATATAATGAATTTGATAGAAAAATCTCAACCCAGGGAGTGGTTTTCTAGCTGGGGGCTTCGCCAAGGGCTGAGATTTTTGCTGTCATACTCCAAAAGTGAGGGAAAGATTGTATTAATCTTTTCAAAATTGAATTCAGACATTTTTCTTGATCACAACAGTTCTAGATAGCAATTCAAAATAACAATATATATGATATATGATAAATGCCATATACACTAACCTTTTATAAGGTAAATAAACTTAAACAGTGTTTTATTTCATTTATCTTGTGAAAATTTGATACGGTTGGTAAAATATTGAATATTTTGTATTCTGTTTTTTTGTTGTCAAATAGCTGTGGTCATCATGTTCAAAACTAAAACAATGCTTGCGTAGCATTTCCAATAAAAAAGTGAAGGTAAAAATCAATACTTTAGGGAAAGAAAACAAACTGATACTCCGTAAGTTAACAGAGTTACTTTATAACAGAACAGTGAATTCTTTCAAGACAGTAAAATATAATTCATGTAAAATGATATTGATTTTTTGCAGTAAAATAATAATATGGACCAGATACATTTCTTTAAACCATGCATCAAAACTGTTATTAAAATCTGTTTTTGGGAACAAAATTTGAGAGTATACTGTTTGGTTTACAGTCTGAGACACATAAACTATGGCTACTGGAAAGTTGTGAAGGAGTTCACCAGGAAGGATGCTGTCAAGGAGATCTGTCGTCTACGCAACATCACAACAGACCTGGGGCGAGGTAAGGCATGTGAAATATATACTTGGGGTGAGGTAAAATATTGGAAGTACTTGATAAATAGGGATATACAGTATTGGAAATTAGCAGAGCAAGTCACAGAAAGTATAGCTGGTATAATTAAACACATACAGTCACATTCTCTGTATTTACCTTTCAACACAGGGATAAAAAATGCACATTTGACTATGATCCATTTCTTTATGCAGACAGACCAACTTGTCTACATTTAAAAACTTTTCTACATTAAAAAACTTTTCTGCATTTGAAAACCTGTCTTACATTTAAATATAACATTTTCAGGGATAAGGCCTTGTAGACTTGCAAATGTTACCGATAAACTGACAATTCTTTAACCAGTCTACCAGATTACAAATTGATAAACAAAAGTTTCCCATGTGTGGTTCATTCTAATAAATATGCATGCATCAGTGAGAAATATTCTGATTTTGAAAAACAAAATCAAAATAACCATGCATTTATTTGGAGAGGAAACACCCGCCCAATTACATTTTGACACTTCGGTCTTCTTATCAGGGAGGGCATGGTTGATGATGACCTTGAATGAATGTGTCCTTGAAAGTTACATCCGTTGTTACCTTGACAACAAGAAGCTTGTGAAGAAACATTATGTGCGCGAAGCATTTGTCCTTGATGAACAGGTATGGATGATCTTTATCTGCACCTTACAGTTACACAGGTCTTTTTTTGTCAGTTTACATTATGTTGGATGTCAGAATACTCAGGTGTCAGATAAAGCAGTGTGGCTGCATTAAATGTTAGCTCTACAGTATTTCTTGGTATAGGTGTCCTCAAAATTTGCCTTATGAAACAAATTGTATATTTTCTCTAAGAAATAGCCCAAAAAATATGTTGGAAGCTAAATGATAATTGATAAAGTTATGAGTTGTTTTGCTTGATTTGAATGTATAATGGTTTTATGTAGTTTTTAAGATGTTTACTGTAATAAGGAGCTGATGTTTGTATAACATTATGTTACAGAGGATGAACGTTCTACTGACCCTGACATCAGGACTGGAGTACGCCATTTTCCATCTAGACTATGTATGTGGTACAGTATTATTCAAATCCAGCCATTGGACTATCCCTGTAGTCAAAATATTAATTTCCTGAAATATCTTTGGAAAAGAACATGTTTTAGAGATAGAATGAGTGAAATAAACAAATTTGTTTGTGTTAGAATATAAATTTTTCCGAAGACATTTCCAGAAATAAATATTTCTGTAAATTGAGTGATATACAGAGCACTTGTGTGTTGCTATGATTTATCTAGATGTCAATAATTGCTAAATTGAAATTAAGCCTAAACCTATAATCTACATTCCTCATTTAGATAATTGTTAAGAAATAGTCGCAATGTTCTTTTTTATTTACCTCCTGATGAAACTCTGATTTCAGGATGTGCCCTACCTTGATCTTGGCACCTACCCACCAGGCAGTCGGTCAAGGACGAGTTCAGCTAACTCTGCTCTTCAGGACGATGACCATGCCTCATTATGCAGTATGGACAGTATCACCTCGACCAGGGGCCGTAATATGGTAAGCTGAGCCAATTAGAGGAACAAGACCTGTAGAAAGTGTTAGGAAGATTTAGGATCTAAAACAAGAGGAAGTGTATGGGAGATCATGAATCTAAAACAAGAGAAAGTGTATGGGAGATTTCGGATCTAAAACAAGAGAAAGTGTATGAGAGATCATGAATCTAAAACAAGAGAAAGTGTATGGGAGATTTCGGATCTAAAACAAGAGAAAGTGTATGGGAGATTTAGAATCTAAAACAAGAAAAAGTGTATGGCAGATTTCGGATCTAAAACAAGAGAAAGTGTATGAGAGATCTTGGATCTAAAACAAGAGGAAGTGTATGGGAGATTTCGGATCTAAAACAAGAGAAAGTGTATGAGAGATCTTGGATCTAAAACAAGAGGAAGTGTATGGGAGATTTCGGATCTAAAACAAGAGAAAGTGTATGGAAGATTTAGGATCTAAAACAAGAGAAAGTGTATGAGAGATCTTGGATCTAAAACAAGAGAAAGTGTATGGGAGATTTAGGATCTAAAACAAGAGGAAGTGTATGGGAGATCTTGGATCTAAATTAAGAGGAAGTGTATGGGAGATTTAGGACCTAAAAACAAGAAGAAGTGTATGAAAGATCTTGGATCTAAAACAAAAGAAAGTGTATGTGACACTTGGGATCTAAAACAAGAGGAAGTGTAAGGGAAATTTAGGATTTAAAACAAGAGAAAATGTATGGGAGATCTTTGATGTAAAACAACAGGAAGTGTATGTGAGATCTCGGATCTCAAACAAGAGAAAGTGTATGGGAGATCTTGGATCTAAAACAAGAGAAAGTGTATGGGAGATCTTGGATCTAAAACAAGAGAAAGTGTATGGGAGATCTCGGGTCAGAAAAATCGAGATAACAGAGATATGAGATAAGAAACAAGAGGAAGCAAGTCTTAAATAGAAGACATGAAAGTTAATGTGAAAGAGATCTCTGACTGCTGTATTCATTCTGAGAGATCTTTCATTACTGTATCTATCCTTCAATAAGCCTAGGGGTCAACATATAATCTCCTAAGGATAGAAGCAGTATTGTCTTATTACAGTACAATGAAATAGCTTTCGTTGGCATTTCTTCCTGTCAGAAATATATATATTGGTGGGCTTATTACCAAGCATGGGCTTATTGCTTGATAAATACAGTAAATCAGAAGAATGTGTATTGGGAATTTCATATTTTGTTATTTAACACAAAACATTGCGAATCCTTCTATTTTTGTAAGCACACACTATTCTTATCCCTGAAAGACTCGATCACTTATTATCTCGACAATGTTTTTATTCATATTTGCAAATGAGATATAACATTAAAATAATTATCATATTTATGAATTCACAATTGAACATCCTTTCATAATCCCATGTGAATTCCTTCTAGTCGTTCACTGCTGCTGTGGAATATACCGGTAAAAGTTGTAACGCTATTGACACACAAAGTCAGAACAGTGAAGATACAGGTCAGTCTAAAGGCGGGTCTGTGGACTCTGGGATATTGGTGAGTGATCGCGATAATCATGTGGACTACAAAAGGTCAAGTTTTCCAAGAGGTCACGATCGCGAACTTTCATTGGAGGAACAGGAAGAGGAGTTTAAAGTCATTCGTGTGTCATCAAGTAGAAAAAAGAAAAAGTCAGTGAAAAAAGGTCACGCTAAAGTTCACCGAGAGGAAGTACTTCAGGAGGATGTGTCTGTTCTAGCGTGTCCCGACACTATCCAACACCAGAACTCGTGCTTGTCACAGGAACCAAGCTTGTCAGATATTTTAGATTTTGACGATAGAGATTATAGTGAACTCCCCGATCGTTCCCCAGGGGACGGTATGGAGAGCAGTCAGGAATCCTTAAATGCCAACCTCCTACATCGAGGTAATGACAAAACTAAGGTCATGGAAAACTATAACATTGCATTTGTAGACATGAGTAAAGAGGATTTGGACTATAATATATACAAACACACGCCTATACAGAACTCACAGTCCGACTACTTTAATGTGTATAAAGATTCTCAAAACACACATAGTGAATCCATCGAACACGAGGCATTAGATTTAGCTGCAACTTCGAAATCCGGTGAAAGTATAAGTGCAGTTGTTTCCTCTGTTAACGATTTGCCTGTGAAAAACGATATTGGTGAGGAGAAAGGTAAAACTGTAGCCAGTAAAAGCGAACTGGGGGTTATTGATGAAAAATGTTCACAACCACTGGAAGGAACCTCACAAGCCTGTGATAATACAGATGGAACTGAAGATGTTAGTGTTAATGTTGATAACACCAGTGATGTAGATTTGAATGAACACATCGACAAAACCCCAGAAATACTGACTTGTGGTAATGTAACTACATCTTCTCCTGACAAAACAGACATTGTAGGGAAAAGTGCAATAAATTCATCATCATCCAATCAGAAATCAGCAACATCAGAGATGCAGGATCGTGTGAACGACATGATTAACCAGACGAATACTCACCTCGGCCGTCACATGTTTGAGGAGGAGCCGGAAGACACTGACATTGAGAATGGGAATGTGCTGGAGGAGGAGGAGAAGACTGTGGCCGGGGAAGTCAGGTAAACATTGATAGGGGAAATCAGGTAAACATCAATAGGGGAAGTCAGGTAAACATTGATAGGGGAAGTCAGGTAAACATTGATTGATAGGAGAAATCAGGTAAACCTTGATAGGAGAAATCAGGTAAACCTTGATAGGGTAAATCAGGTAAACATTGATAGGGGAAATCAGGTAAACATCAATAGGGGAAGTCAGGTAAACATTTATATGGGGAAGTCAGGTAAACATTGATCGATAGGAGAAATCAGGTAAACCTTGATAGGGTAAATCAGGTAAACATTGATAGGGGAAGTCAGGTAAACATTGATAGGGGAAATCAGGTAAACATTGATTGATAGGAGAAATCAGGTAAACATTGATAGGAGAAATCAGGTAAACATCGATAGGGTAAATCAGGTAAACATTGATAGGGGAAAACAGGTAAACATTGAGCGGGGAAATCAGGTAATCATTGATACGGGAAATAAAGTAAACATCGAAAGGGGAAGGCAGGTAAAAATTGATAGGGGAAGTCAGGGAAACATTTATAGGGGAAGTCAGGGAAACATTTATAGGGGAAATTAGGTAAACGTTGATAGGGCAAGTCAGGTAAACATGGATAGGGGAAGTCAGGTGAACATTGATAGGGCAAGTCAGGTAAACATAGATAGGGGAAGTCAGGTAAACATTGATAGGGGAAGTCAGGTACACATTTATAGGGGAAGTCAGGTAAACATCGATAGGGGAAGTCAGGTAAACATTGATAGGGGAAGTCAGGTAAACATTGATAGGGCAAGTCAGGTAAACATTGATAGGGGAAATCAGGTAAACATTGATAGGGGAAGTCAGGTAAACATTGATAGGGGAAGTCAGGTAAACATCGATAGGGGAAGTCAGGTAAACAT